GTAAGTAAACCAAGAAGCTTTAAGATGAATATATTATAAAACCCATTTTCAGGGCTTCAAGTTACAATCAACTAAAGAGTATAACTATAAAAATGTATTCAAAAAAAATAATAATAAATTTGATATCTTTTTGCTTTGAAAGATTTATTTATGAATATTTGTCGATCCCTATCATCTCGCCCTTTTACTGCCATCAAACGCAATATTCAGGATAACCTGGCAGGTCAGAACTCGGTACCAGTAGCCGTGGTTCCGGGCATTAAGTATCACTACCCAGGCAACTCGCTTAATCAATCTGGAGTTGCCATCTCAGCAGTGCACAGCAATAGCGGCTTTAATGTGGAAAGCATAAATCAGGTTGATGGCGGCTTCATCAATCCGATCCTGGTTCGGCACGATTCCGGATTGAGCGGTGAAGAAGATACAATTACGGCGTCTGCATACAACGTGTATCAAAACGATTTAGTCTCCACAAATCAGTCAAATGCCGGGCCCTATCAGCCACGCTATCTACCGGCGCAGAGAGGGCCTCAAGCACAGACCGTGTCTGGTGGCACCAAGTGGGAGGCTCGCCAGACAACCGCTGCCACGACGACTGGGCAGCTTCAGGCGAACTCCACCGGCCGAATGGGTCCCGAGATTGTGCTGCCGCAAGGCGATCTATCCGGCGGCTTCATGAGATCCAGCCCCGCCGGTCCAGATGAACACATCATCGTCAATCTCTCTGAGCTTCCACCCGGTCTCCTTGGCGTCGGGGAGTCGGCTGAGGGCGGTCTAAGAGTCGGCCGAACTGGTCGTGGTCATGGCGCCATGTCGGGCATCAGCTCGGTCAGTGGGCGCACAGCGATTCAGGGGGCCACATTGTCCTTTCACGATATTGTCTACGAAGTGAAGGTGAAAAAGATGCCTTGGAGCAAGCCGGTGCACAAGACTGTGTTGAATGGTGTCAGGTGAGATTCGACCGGCCGAGTCCCTATCCAGCTACTCTCCAATGCCATCAAGCATCATAATTTCCAATAAGAAAGCTGTATCATAGTCAAAAGTGGCCCTTGCTTTGTCCTGGGCAAAATGTTTCGAGGCTAAAGTCTATCACTTGGGAAAAGTCATCAAAGTAGTAGTCATCAAATGCAAATATGTCATGAGTTGACAGCTTTTTTGTCCCACCCGAGCCTACAGTCGCCCCAAGGGATATCGAGCTGTAGTCACACCACACCGCATAACATAGTTAAGCACTGATAGTTGGATCTATCAGGAGGAGGAATACAGCTCTTATTCACGATCTACCCACTCAATATGATTGTAAACAACCGAATTGATTGTGGGGGGAAATAGAAATTAGCCTCATCGACGCTTCCACTATGATTGTGCTATGGGACTAGCCTGATTTGCCTTGAAAATCACGTGCGTGTCGAAAATAAAATCTGTATTATTTGGGCTCTATTTCAGTTTGCGGCTCTCATTAGACTCAAATAGGTCGAGACTGGAGTCCATGTTGGATGTGGATATTTCTTGAAGGCATGGCTAAAGAAAATTCAACGGCCAACTGATAAAGACGGTAAGTTCGGGGACAGCCGAACACACGATTGACTGAAGCACAACGGAAAATTTGTTCCCATATTTGGGAAATCACAAGAAACTGGAAGATCAGGCAAGCCGTGAAAAGCATCTTTCAAACAAACCTCATGAGCAGGAGTTCAAAAGTGGAGAGACTCCGTTAAAAGTTTGCTTAGTGCTTGGGGAGACTTGCAGAAATTTAGGATTCCACAAAGACACTTAAATTAAGTCGGTTTGACCAAACAGAAAGAAACATGGCCAGGACAAAGAGCTTGAAGAGCAAATAAAAGTCAAACAAAGGAAATCGCAGGGAAAAGAGTTAAACCTAAAATCAACTTCAAAAAGTTACCAACGTTGGTTCGCTTGGGGATGCACCATTAAAAACGCTAAACCAAAAATCTAGATCTAATTCAACTCCAGTTGGTTGTGGAAACCGAAGTGGGAGCAAAATATCAGGGGTCCATAATACATGTATGCGTGTGTGTGTGTGTGTGTGTGTGTATGTAGCATGTCTGAAAAGGGTAGTTAGTACCTAATGTGCAGATGTAAAACTGAATAAAATCTTAGGATTATATGGGAATATCGATGTGAAGGAAGAGCAGAAATGATGCCATAAACTGGAACCAAAGAGGTTGGAGTGGGAGTGGGAAAGGGAAAATTCGGGTCAGTAGAATCTCTGTTGCTGAAATCCTTTACGAAATCTGGAACGTATAGACAGCCAACTGGTGAGTGAATTTGATGTGCAGCCTAAATGGAATTGCTGAAGGGTCTAAGAAGTCCTGCAGATGGCAGCTCAAACAGTCTGTGAAGGTTACTACGCTTCACCAAATCCACTTCAAGTGACACTCTCAGGCGATGTAAGAGCAAGCGAAGACCTAGAATGCTGTGCAGAAGTGAATGGGCCATATGAAGATGTGGATACAGTACCAGAAGGTAGGACCCTTAACCAAAAATGCGGTTAGGGTATTGTCTAAATTTGTCACTTTGACCAGCTGTTGCTCTGTGCCAAAAATGCCGATGCAGATCACGATGCCAGTGAAACGTATGGAAATGTACAACGTCAACATAAAAACTCAACATTATACAGTTAAAGGATTACACCATCTTGGTCTTTATATCTACTATTAAGAAGTGATTCAATAAAATACAACACTACAATTTTGTAATACTGGATGTATGTCTT